TTAGTGTTTATTACCTTGGGCTGTTACAACAGAAAACTGCTTTTACAACTTCTTTTTTTTTTTTTTTTTTAACCGGGACTCTGCTGCCTTTCTGTTTAGAGTTTGTTATCTGGAGCTAAATTTGTTATGTAGGGTGTGTCTTCCTATGGTAGGATGTAAAGTGGACCAGAACCCATTCTCTGGCACTGAGGTTAGTTGGCACAGCATGATTCAAATCCATACCTAAGCACTCTTACTTTCCAAAACAGGATGGCTGCATTTAAGCTGCCTTTGGGGAATGTCCTTTGCCTGTGCTATTCCTCAAGCTATACCTAGACATGGTGTAGAAAAGAGGTGGATTTGCACCAACCAAAACTGTGCCAGGAAGCAACAACATTAACAGTACTGATGTGCTCAGGCCAGTGCTGAGGATCGTGCTCCTAGCCCTGTGCAGCTTGCTAGTATAGCTGTAGCCTTTGATATAGAAAAGCCATGCATCAACATAGCATCCTAATACTTCATATCATCTTTAACGTAACTATCTGGCAACAGCTCTGTAATCGAGGCTCAGTCCAGAATTTCTGGGAGGTTGTAAGGCTTGGAACAGACAGATCTCCCAGGACCAATGTCCATACCATTGTGGAGGCTTTGGTTTAGCAAATGACTCTGTAATAACTTCACTGTTACTTAAGTTTGGACTGAATAAATCAAAGAGAAATCTAACTATAAACTTTTAGCCAGACTTCATCTCTGCATGTTGTTAGTCCAGCCTTCTTTTTGTCTGTTATTTTTAGAGTCAGGTTAAATAATGGTGTTGTTTACCTGAAATATAATGTCAGACTAAGTACTCAGGACACTAAGTTCCTTGATGTGCTATAAATAGTGCACCTATGTGCGTTGCAACTCACTACAAAAATGTCAGTTCTGTCAAGGAAGATTGTCCTTGACTGTGGTATGTCAAATGCATATCATGCTATTAACTATTACCCATTTAACTTGTTGAAACTTGTACAAAATACTTTTTTAAAAAAATACGGGACCAAGCATTACATAATAACCTTGGTCGACCATCGGTTCAAAAAGCCGAAACTCACTCTTGGAAAGAGCAGAAAAATAGACCTTCAGGTGTGTGTGAGGTATGGGCTCCCCTTGCTGGAAAACGCGTGTAATGCAGAGAAGCAAGCAATACTCAGGACTGCCAAAACTTCCTGTATGAGAACATTTTTTCTTTAAATTCAGTATATAACTGAAAATTTTATGACTAATGCTTTTGAGTGTGGGGGTTTTGGTTTTGTTTTGGTTTTTAATCAATTAAACTTTTTTATTTTATTTAGAAACTTTTAATTGTAGCTTCCCACTGCCTGGAGATTAGCCTGCCTTTTTCCTCGTGGTGGAATGTATGTGCCATTCATGAATAGAATTGAATAAGTAATGTTGATATTTACTTTTCATTACCAAATATTTGTAGTCTGAAATCAAAGGAAGTAGGTCTTGGGACATTCATATTGATTTAGCAAAGGCCTAAGCAAAGATAGCTGTGGCCAAACTTATTAAGTCCATAATAATACTCTGATACTTGTGAAATTGAACATAAATATGAACTAATATTTTCATAGAGAATTGTTTGAAATGTTGCTGCTGCTAATAAAGCTTACAGTGGCATTTAAATACCATTTAAATATGGTATTACTCTTCAAGCATGGTTTTATAGAGGTATTTCATCTGTGAGAGGCAGCAAAGCTCAATTATTAGAGTTGTACACTGAACTATTTCTAAAATAGTTTCTAAAAAAGTCTTAGAAATTGCAGCTACAGTTTTTTAATATATGCGATAGGAGATTTTTATTTTAGGCCTTAAAAATTCAGGAGACATCACTAATAAATTGTTACAGAGTTGCTAATGAAGGAATTTTAATTCAGTACAATTCTGGAGTTTAACAGAAGTCCTGGGTAAGAGTTTTCTGCACTTTGACAACTTGGGAGTTGATTTTTTTTGTTGTTGTTGTAGCCATCCTAAACTATATGAATTACTATATGATTTATTAAATAACATTTTAGATATTTTAATTATTTAATTTTCACCATATATAAGTGCTGTCATCAGAAAATTACCAATGTATTAATTAGTTTAGAATTATCTAAATGAGGAGGTAATGCTTTTGAAATGGCTTGGTAAAATTGGATATATGGATTGTTATACTTCGTAACAGCTGCTAACAGCCTTTGTATGTTTGGGTATGTGCAGTCGTAGTTATACATATGCCTCTTGACAAAATGTTAAGAAGCACATATCAGTTGATAAACTGTGATTTGCAAATAAGAGTTCTATTCCGGTCTTGCAGTTTGCCTTCTACAAAGGCAAAGATCAAATGTCAACACAACTGTGGACCTATTGCATCTGAAGGCATGGCTCTGCTACTGTCATGTTATGTGCAGGATGTCAGCATAATGAATGCTTGTATTTATGATGTGTGCACCTGTGTGTAGATCCTTCTGAATGGTGACACAGGTGAAGCTATGTAGACCACCTGGAGAAGGAAAGTGAGCTGTGGTTGGTATCCATAGTTCTCAGTCCTGCACGTTCCCTACAGGACACTCTCCCACTCTGCCAGTGGGATTTCTGATGACATTAAAAAAAGATAGTGTTTACTAACATAAAACTGTAAAATTTAGGTGTTCTATTTAAAAGCAGTTTTGTCTAACAAATAGCTTTTAATATGGCATTTCCTAAGATTACTGAATCAACAGCAGAGTAGCAAATTTCAGTTGCCTGTGAAAAGTTAAAACTATGACTGTGTGAGTCAGGTGGTGGAAAGAAGCAAGTTTGGTAACTGGCCATAGTTTATTCTGTCTTGATGCCTCAGATAAGTAACCTGAGGATATGTAAAGAGTTTATTGCCTTAAGCTCCTGTTTGAGTAAATCAGGGAAAGAACTACTGCCTGTTGCCATAGGTGCTGTCTGTCTGTCCCTTTGGCTAGAGAAGTAGCTTAGATTATTAATTTTGTTACCTAACCAACCTGTGTACAGTTAGGTGAGATTCCTGGTGACTAGACTTTTCTGAGATTTCAAAGTATTCCTTGTACAGAAACTTTGTCTTATCTCAGCCCTAGACATCAGAGGGTACAATTTTGTGTGTTGACCCTGAACTGATTTGGGGACTTCATTAACAGTTTACTTTTGGTCAGAATTCAGGTGAAATTTCCTTCTTCTACCAAGGGTTCAGTGTTTTATTTTGTTAGATATTTGAGGACTGATTTTTAAAAATCATCCCATTAAGCAAATCACAGCCTAAATAAAATGACTGACACCCCACAATTTTTAGTAGAACATCAAGATTACTGTGATTACACCCATGTGTACCTTTTTTACAATCAAGAGCAATTAATCTTTTTTTACTCCTCTAGTAAATACTATTGGCAATTCATACACTTCCAATTTTCTGATGTGTCTTTTAGGAAACAAAAGGCTCCTCTCTTCTATCCTGTTACTTATCGACCCAGAAATTATCCTTTCTTTCTTTAATGTCCTTGAATTAACAAAATTGAGACTGAGCAGTAGCAGTACGTAAAAACAGAGGTTTCTAGGCTTTCTACTTTCCACCCCATTAATTGATACTTAGGGTTTCCTGTTGCATTCAGGAGAGAGGCAGGAAAGTAATAATACAAAACACTTTTTTTTCTTTTAAGCAGTGTCATTTTCCATAATAATCAGCTGGCCTATAATTTGAGTGTCAAACAGGTGACAGTTGCATTTTGAGTGTATGTTGTCTTGTTCTTCCAAACCATTCAAAACAGTCATTGATCACAAAAAAAGGAAGTGTAGAGGTGCATATATGCAGAGATTTCATGTAATTCTTTCACATATGTGGGCAAAGTGATACAGGATTGGTGGGAGGGAGTACTGCAAAGAGTTTGTGCAATGCTACATTTGCAATATGACTTTCTAATGTAGAATCATAGAATCATAGAATGTTTTGGGTTGGAAGGGACCCCTAGAGGTCATCTAGTCCAACCCCCCTGCAGGAGCAGGGACACCGCTAACTAGATCAGGTTGCTCAGAGCCCCGTCCAACCTGGCCTTGAATGTTTCCAGGCATGGGGCCTCCACTACCTCTCTGGGCAACCTGTTCCAGTGTTTCACCACCCTCATTGTAAAGAATTTCTTCCTTATATCCAGTCTAAACCTACCCTGGTTTAGTTTAAAACCATTACCCCTTGTCCTGTCACAGCTGGCCCTACTAAAAAGATTGTCCCCATCTTTCCTATAGGCCCCCTGAGGGCTCCAGAGCTGGATGCAGTACTCCAGGTGAGGTCTCACCAGAGCAGAGTAGAGGGGCAGAATCACCTCCCTCGACCTGCTGGCCACGCTTCTCCTGATGCAGCCCAGAGTACGGTTGGCCTTCTGGGCTGCCAGCGCACATTGCCGGCTCATGTCCAGCTTTTCATCCACCAGCACCCCCAAGTCCCTCTTGGCAGGGCTGCTCTCGATCCTTTCTTCCCCCAGCCTGTACTGATACTGGTACTTACTGAATGGCTAAGCCTGCCTACATTACTCTTTGGTGGGTGGTGGGGTTTTTTTAGTATAACCTTATCTAGCAAGCAGTTTGTCCTGTGTAGGAGGATGCTCGTCACAGCTTGTTACACAATTTGGCATCTTGTAGGAGAGAGTTCTACTTAATAAGAGGTGTTTCCTGCCATGTTAGACAGAAAGTCTTGTACAGATCAGAATTGATAAGGGACAGTGCTGGTCCTTAATCAACTGACAAAACTTGCCTGTTCAGATTAGGATTTGGTTGAAAAATTACCCGCTCCACTGATGGCTCTTGATGCCATTCAGAACAATATCCAGAAAATATCCATTTTAGATTGTAATGCAAGATCAGATTTTTCTGTCCTCCTGAGGACAGAGGAATTATCTAATAGTTTTTGCTGGAGTCAATGTCTAAGGATTTTGCTTCATTTAGAAATTAATAAATCAAGGTGTTTGTTTTTAAACTAAAATCTGTCTTTTTTAAAACTATAGTGTTCTTAAGACCACAAAGAAATTTGGAATCAATAGACCCACAATTTACAATTCGAAGGAAAATGGAGCAGATGAGAGAAGAGAGAGAGCTTGTGGAACAGCTACGTGAGGTATGTGTTGGTAGAATTCATTTGTTGGTAGAATTAATTTGTGCTAATGGAATGTATTTTTTTTTTAATTTTTCTTTGGGAAAATTGTCTAAGTAGGAGAACATTAAAAAGGTTAAATGAGGCAATATTACTTCTCCAAATCACACTGATGAGACTGTTCCTGAAGTGCTTCATTAGATGTCTGTATTTCAGGAAGGGTTTTGTAAAAATGGGAAATAATCATGGGAGTTACCTGAATGACATACAGTTAAACAGCATGCCTTGCACTGGTGGAATTAAGAATTTATTTAATTTCATCAGAAAGATTGAAGTGATCACTTAAGAGGTAGAGAGGTCTAGAAACTATTTCCTAACAGCAGGAGAAGTTCATTCTAGCAAGTAAAAGGCATAATGAAATCTATTAATTATTAATTAAAAATGAAGTTAGAAACTTTTTTTTTAAAGCAGATAACTAATGCTTGAAACAACGTTCTTGGAAATGAAATTAATATTTCATCACTTGAAGATCTGAACATACAGATAATTTCCTGATACTTTGTTTTGAGTATAGAAGCTATAGCCTGATGCAAAAATTGCTGCATGTGTGGTTGCATAGGGTCTGTGTTACACAGCTAATACCTAGGTAGTGCTGTTTGTATGACACCGATTTGTGTCAAAAAAAAAAAGAAAATGCTTTTGCCACATGGAACGTTGTGAGCCTGAACCTGTCAAGGTTTCCTGTTATGTCATGTTACCAACAGAAGAGATGGTATCATTGCACTCCTATTGGCCAGTGCAAATCCTGAAAGTGTGGTAGGTGAATTTGATATCACAACCGAATTACAAGATTATTTGTTCTTAACATCATTAGTTTTATGGAATGACTAATTCAAAAATTACTCATTTATTTTAAATAACATGTCTTGTATTATTTAATCTTAAAGCAAGAGGATTCACTTTTTTCTCCTTACCAAGTAGTGTTCAAAAGGCAGGTGGTTTAATGTAAAAGTATGAGGACTTTTAGACATTCACTCTCTTACCTCAGGCCCTCACCTGCTTTAAGTCTGGATTGATCTTAGTTTGTCTTGCTGAATTTTTGAACAGAACAGATCTAGCTGAAGAGTCAGCGTAGTTGAATGTAGTATATTACCAATTCTAAACTTGGATGGTGCCAAAAGGACAAGATGCAGGAATTGGATGAGACAGAATTACTGGTAATGCAGAAGAAAATGGAAGCAGCCGTAATAAACCGCAGCCAGATGTGGTCCTTCTGAGAGTAGTCTAGTCAGCAGCATCAATGCAGCTTTTTGCGTTTCTTTTTAGAATTACCACAAGTATGTAGCAAGTCGGCAAGTAATTGTTCCTAAAAATAACGTCCTTGAGGTTCCTGCCTTGTGCATTAGTTGAGCTAATCCTCACAGTGAAAAGTAGAACAAGGTTATTCACCATATTAGGCGTGATCATGGAGACTTAATAGGGATCTTTCTATATTGTGTTAGTATTAGGTATTACCAGTAATACTGGCTTAATGTGTTGTTGACCATCAGCTCCATGCACTATCCTTCTTTGCCCGCACCCTGAATTATTGTGTCCTGAAATGAAAGTTCTGTTGTCTCTTGTGAGAAATTTGATTACAAGCCAAGGAGTGATGACAGAAGCTAGAAGATTGGCCCTGTTTGGAAGCACATAGTGGGATTTTTCTAATTAATAAAGTTTACTCTGGTATACTGGGTCCTTTGGTGACAGAAGCAACCTCCAGACCATCTCATTATGTACTGTACAGGAAAATAGGCCAGAACATGTAAGTCATTAAGTTCATACTTACTGAATAAACATATTTGTTAGTATATTTTGCTTTTGAATTGTTTCATGGTATGTTAGACTTCAGTGAGACTCCACAGAACCTGCAGCCTTAACCAAGTTGGGCACTAAACAAGGAGGACCAACAGTACTCAGGTTCCTTATTTAGAAATCTAAATGCACAGTTACATTTAGCTCAACCGCTTTACCTCAGCTGTATATTGTGAGAACATTGGTGTTTCTCCCATATGTTCCCCCCCTTTTCTTTAGAATGGTGTGTTTTTACAGAAATTGTTTCATTTCATAAAACTTTTTCTTCAGAGACATACTTATTTTTCCTCCATTGCAACTATTTGGTTTTGTATACATCCGTGTATACATTTCAAGAGTGATTTGACACTTATTATTGAACAATAGAGTCTAGTAAGAAATACTGGTTGATTGTTGTCACTCAAAGGGTAAACTCTCAGTAGTTGTGACATGCTAAGTGGAACAAATTGTCTGCTGCTGTAGTATGGTTGATTCCGAAAGAGAACAGTCCTTCAGTGGTGACAAAACTGAAAGAGAATTTATAGACTTCTTGAAGTCTTCAATTTTAATTAAATCTAGTCTGAAACAATGAACTGGCATGGAAATAGTGTTGTGGGTGCGCTGTGCTCATAAAAAAAAAAAAAAAAAGACGCACCCTGATCTGTACTGTGTAGTCTCCCAACAGGCAAATAAGTTTTTTAAGAGAAGGAATTTTTAATTCATTAACTTCTATAAACGTGTTTGTAACAGATTTGGGAAAAGGTCTCAAAATGTATAAATTAATATATAACTTTCTGTATATATCTCATATACCAAAAATATTTTCTAATGCATGAAATAATGCAAGGTGAAAGCAAAACATATTAATACACGTGATGTACTGCCTCGTTTGGCAGTTGTGAGACCATACATGTGAGTACTTGAGTAGTGTGTCTAGTAAAGGAGAAACTGGGAAAATATAATGAAACCCCAGAGTGAGTTCAGGATCTCATCAACACATACAAATATCTTAAGGGTGGAAGTCAAGAGGACGGAAGCAGTCTGTTTGCAGTGGTGTCCAGCGACAGGACTAGGGGCAATGGATGCAAACTGAAACATAAGAGGTTTCAGTTGAATATGAGGAAGAACTTCTTCACTCTGAGGGTGGCAGAGCACTGGAACAGGCTGCCCAGGGAGGTTGTGGAGTCTCCTTCTCTGGAGATATTCAAAGCCCGCCTGGATGAAGTCCTGTGTAGCATGCTCTAGGTGAGCCTGCTTTAGCAGGGGGGTTGGACTAGATGATCTCCTGAGGTCCCTTCCAACCCTTACGATTCTGTGATTCTGTGATTCTGTGAAGCTACTTCATGGTGAGGGCACCCAAACAAAGTATGTATGAGGAAGAAGCTAAGAGCTGGATTTCTTTTGCTTGGAGAAAAGAGTGCTGAGAATATCCTATGACTGTCCTCAGCTGCCTGAAGGGTAGTAATAGAGAAGATAAAGCCAGTCTTTTCAAAGATGCACAGTGAAGGAGTGAGGGGCGGTGGCACAAATGGCAGAGAAAGAAATGTCAAGTAGCTTATAAAGAGAAAATTCTTTGCAATAAGGGTGGTGAAGCACTGAACAAGGTTGCCTGGAGATGCCGTGGAATCTCCTTCCTTGCAAATATCCAGAACTTAACGAACCAAGGCTCTGATCTCATTTCAAATTTGTTAGACCAGGTGACCTTCAGAAATCCGTTCCAACCTACACTCTGCTTTGCTTCTAAAGAGAATAATCTGTTTTCATCTAAAACACCCAGCATAGATCGAGGTAATGTATTAATAGAGAATAATGACATTAAGGAGGTTCAACTAGGAATAAGAAATACCTATTTTAAGATAATGGAGGTAATTACCTCTGAGAGTTAATCTAAGAGTTATCTCTAAGCATAGTGTTGGAATGTTTTCAAGATTGGAGCACAATACAGGAAACTCATAATATGTAATAATCTTACTGTAGGGCTTCTTCCTGGAAAATTCTCCAATATTTCCAAAGTATTTTATTTTGCAATACCAAATTATTTTCAATGAGGTGACAGTTTTACTTAACAAGTGTCCAAAAATTCTCTTTTAAATCTGAATGTTTTGCCTTGGCTTACCTATCTTTCTGGTCACTCTAGTGCTTCCTAAGTAATTTTTAGGCTATTTATTGAACATACATAAAATTATACATGTTCCTTTTCTGGGTTAAGTAAAGGTGTCCCATTCAGCTTGGCAAAAACTGGTGGTTAATGGCACTTAACTTTGGCAAGAGAATTTGGGGATGACGTGTCATGAAACCAAGTCTGTATGTCCCTACATACTACCATACCCTACCTATCCCTGATTTGCCCAAGATTTTGTCGCCACAAGCACCATCCACATTGGGGTCCAGTTCCCATTGCCTGGAATAGAGAAGAGGAAAGAATCAGTTTATTTATAATCGGTCAATAATACAACTACAATCAATTAACAATTATGATCTTACAACAGTCCACGCTTTACTTAGCACTTATACGTATGATGTCTATTGATAAAAACAATGCCCTGTTTGATAGCCAATGGGCAACCTTATCTTGTCGGGAACCAGAGTGTCCAAATTCTTTCAATAATTCATAATTACCTTGGTGCCATTTGCTGTGTGCACTAAGAGGAAATCCCGTAAATTTGATGGTATTAGCATTAGTCAGATCTTGTACTTGATCTTTTAAACGTTAGTATTTCTTGACCTTCTCTGCCTCTGTGTCTGCCATAGAAGTTAACTTACTCCTGTATCTCACTATTACATCTACTACCAAAGCTTGGTTTCCTTTAACGAAGGCCAAGTCTGGCTTGTATAATTCGTTTTGTTTGCCTTTCAACAGCGGTTCTTGGAATACAACCCATTCTTTCTTTTTTGCCTCCTCCATCAATAGTTCACACAATTGGTTATGCCTTTTAATCCTTGCATCTTGTACTGCTGGGCAGTACCCAATGATATGGGAGAGGGTCTCATTTTCTGAGCCACAGTGCCAGCACAACTTGATCTGGGTTTCCTGTCTACCCCTTGCCAGGAATTCTCTTGTGGGGTGTACATTCACTCTTAGTTGTAATGCTGTAATGAGCTTTTGGAGGGGAACGCCCCTGTAAAATTCTATCCAGTTGTTACTGATCTTTTCCCGCTCAAAGCTGGCAAATCCACAGACCTGGGATACCAACTTGGTCCAAAATCTTCAAAGTATTTTATTTTGCAATACCAAATTCTTTTCAATGAGCCATCAGTTTTACTTAACAGGTATCCAGAAATTCTCTTTTAAATCAGAATGTTTTACCTTGCCTTACCTGTCTTTCTGATCACTCTAATGCTTCCTAAGTAATTTTTAGGCTGCTAGGGGAAGATTGCCTTTTACTCTCTGCTTGTACAGTGATTGACATAATGTAGTTTTGATTCAAAGTGCTAAAGATAAAGAAAATTTGAGATGCATAGGTAGAAGACTTGAGGAAATGGTGAAAGGAAGGAGCCGCATGTAGTGCAATTGCGTGGCTAATTGCATGCATATGTGGGTTTATATGTATGTATAAAAATAAATGCACGTTGTGACAGCAGCATTTGAAGTGTTGAGTTCTTTTAAAGAAGCTTACATAATTCAGTGACCAACATAGGATAGAGGGGGTTGGTTTTTAGTTTTCAAAGAATCAGTTATATAAAGGTAGTGTTTCTTGGTAAACCAAAACTCCAAAACTGGCTACGTGTCTACAGTATGGGAGATGGTCAGGATATTTTTTCCCCCATTTTTTTCCCTTCATCCATTTCTTATATTAAAGTGTGTGTGTATTCTTCATTTGCAGAACATTGAAACACGACTAAAGATTTGTTTGCCTGAAGACTTGGGGTCCGCTCTGATGGATGGTGTAGTTCTCTGCCATTTAGTAAATCATGTTCGTCCTCGGTCTGTAGGAAGTATTCATGTACCCTCACCCGCAGTAGTAAGTCGAATGTTTCTTCTTACATTGGGCTGTGGGAGGCAATGTTTAAAAAATTATTTTTATTGCCAAATGATTGGTTACATAAACCAGGTTGCTGTTCAATGAATGTTCTTTGCTGTTAGGGGCAACTTTCACATTACTACAAATTCAGATGTTCTTTAGCCCCTTGTTTGTTGGTTGAAGAAATAAGATGTTAACTTTAGCAATGTCTGGTTTAGCAGATGTCATGTAACTAAAGCACTTAAAGCAGCACTTACAGGATGATATTCTTCCTATTGTGTTAAATATAGAAATTATTCCTTTTCCGTGCAGACAGAATGGAATAGAAACATGTGCTGTAGTGGTTTAATATTGGCTTGCCAAACCTAAGGACCTGAAGATTTCAGGACATAAAATCTATATAACCGCTGTGTGTGCATTGCTTGAAACTTGGTATTTTCTGTTTATTGATATATTTTTCTTGGTCAGATCTTTGTTCCAGATTTCTGATACCAGTCTGGTTCTGAAGAGGTTTTGTATGTTTTTAGAGTTAGATATTCGATTCTGAGAACAGCATGTGGATTTTGGAGCCAATCTATAAGAACCTCCAAGAAAACAGATGTTAAGAAAAAGACATTTTCTCAGATGGTCTAGTTGGAGTTTCTTTTACTGTTGCTTGGTTTCAAATTACTTCTGTCTTTGGTAAAAATATGATATTGCCGAGATATGCAAACTTGAATTTCTGGGGCAAAACCTCAAGTTTTGTTGCTGGGTTTGGGTTTTTTGTTTATTTGCTTTTAAGAAAAAAAAATCTTGTGGTGTTTTCTGTAACAAAAAGCAAATATTTTAAATCCATTTTCATTTTGTTTCAACTTTATATTGATGATGATCTCTTGCTTGAAACAGCTTTCAAATTACTTTAGCATAGAAAATTGGTTCTTTACAGTCCCTGCTACTATAGTGAGTTCTTGGTTTAAGTGGATATTCAGCAATTACCATTGGTTTACATCTTGCATTAAAAAAGTAAAATAGTGAGGAGTTGGGGATTTTTTGTAACATCATATTTCTGTAACTATTTGGTGAGTAGTCCTGAGTTCTACAGTAATGGGAAATTTCTTCTTCAGAGACATGAAAATTGTGTATAGTTACTATACATTTGTGAGTACATAGAATATTTTGAAACTAAGAGCCTGTTAATTACAGTCTGTATGCTGAAATTCTTCATCAGTTTACTTCCTATTCAGAAAATCAATGTTGTCTATCATGGATCATTGTAAGAGGACAGTTTTAGAACCTCACAAGCTGGATGCGAACAAGTAGAGATCTAAGTGTGCTGATGACTTTAATAACTAAGTAAAAGTACATGGCATCCACAACTTACTTACTCAGATTGTATTTGTAAGCAAGATGTTTTTAGAGTGGTAGGAAAAAAAGTTGAGCAGAATTTTATGTATTGTTTTCAGAAGAAATATGGAAATGGTGCATCAGTACAAGAACAATGCAATAGATTAATTTATTGACTGAATGAATGTTATTGACTTCTTTATTTCTTCTTGTTTTTACAGCCTAAACTTAGCATGGCCAAATGCAGGAGAAATGTGGAAAACTTTCTGGATGCATGTAGAAAACTGGGGATACCAGAGGTAATTTAATTAAGTCTGTCACTTCTAGATGATCAGAAATGCAAAACATATCCTTCAGCTTTAAAGTAATTCATAACTTTATGAACTACAGTTTTTCAGCCATAAAGACATATTATTTAAAATTTTATTTAAATAATGTGATTTAATACTACTTTAGTGCATTTAAAGTGTCATAGCACTTAAGAATTTCAACTTCTGACTTAAATTAATAATTTGATACTATCCCCAATACCTTCTTATCTTTGCCATGGAAAATAAATAAGGTATATGGTAATTAGGTAATATGTAATTAGGCAAAAGTCTGGGTTTTTTCGTTATACAACATAACTGTATTTTTACCTAGTGCTTTTAGAATACCTAGTACTTTTTTACCTAGTGCTTTTAGACTTCATTCTTTTTAATTATTGATTTTCCTTTTTTTACAATATTAAGTACTGTATAGTATGCACTGTAAAAGTGACTAATAACACACTCGTCTCTTGTACTGAAACACTTCTGCAGTGATCTGAAGAAAACCCTTGTGTGTTAAGTATGGAATGTACATATGAGTAAGACTGTTCTATAATGTAGATATAACTATTTCAGAAGTTGGAAATAAGGCAATTGCAGTGCTTGGTGTTTTCTGTTTTTCATTTAAGAATGGCAGCATTCATCATGTAATTTATTCTCATATTAATAAGGAAAAATATATTTATAACTAATGTAATGAATTCTGGAGTTTCATTGGGAATATTTCAAAGATTCCCTTATGGTCTAGAAGTACCTATTAAGAGAAAGTTAATTTCAAATACATGACCCTCAAAGGAGGTAAAAGTGTTATACAATTTCTTTTTAATCTAAAACCATGAAAACTGCACGATGTATTTTCCCTGTGTCGTGCCTACATATGACAATATAATTAAGACTGAGTTCTTTTTAGTATGTGTTTCAAGAATGCTCAAAGAAAATACTTTTTTGTATCTCCTCCACCACACCCTTGGGGAGCAGATGGTAATGCAAAAATTTCACACTGGGAAAGAATTCCAATTTGTATTCTATATATTTTATTTATATTTTAGCACTTGATTTGGAGGACAGCAAAAGTTAACAGTTCATTTTTGCTATTTATAGGAATTTTGAGGGGGAGACTTTTATTTTACAACTCCAATGAATGGTTCATCATAAATGTAATTCGAGACACCCCCCTGAGTGTTATGGGCTGGCCCTCTAAGTTGTAATGGATGATTTAGTTCTTGTAATTATGTAATTTATTATACTAGATTGATTTCATATTAGAGGTAAAATTTTACTTCAGAGAAGATCAAAATCTGAGTACTGTGGGCTTATAGACATGGAGTGGTTCTTAAGCTGCTCCAAAATTCATTGTCTTAAGACACATCATAAATTTTTCAGTGAATTAGAAGACAAGTCAGGTTTTTTGAGATACAGCCCATTGGGAAAGAAAAGGCCAAGAGCTGTTTTCATTGTTGTCAAGAGATCTTTCAGAAATGGAAGTAAGCTGGAAAAATTTATAAAGATCTTTGCAGTGCCATTTTACAGATGGGTAAGCTAAGCCTTTACTCTGAGGGTGGTTTTTTTTTTTTAATTTTGGATTTCTAGAAGTAAGCTTTCTGGAAAAATACCATTTTGTTCTCTATCAATAGTTCTTTTTATATACTTATCACCCCTCCTCTTTAAGCTTCCATTGAAATTAGTGTAGAATTCTTTAGATTTTTTTTTTTTTTGTAATTTATTAAAGTGTATATTTGCAGTGCTGCACAGAGCATTAAACACAAGACCAGATCTTACCAATCTGATTTATAAACTAACCGTCCTTACGAATCTAAATAAGCATTAACTTCTTTTGAGGGGAAAAACTCATTCACTTAAACATTAAATGAACAGCTTGCAATTGTAAACTTACAGTAGATTTAAGTACTCTGAGGATATTCTTTTTTGATTAGCTATCGGCAATTTGCAAATGTATATGTTTGCTATATATTATGTTGCAGAACTAGGTGGTAGATGATAGAACTTTGTTGCATTTTGGAGGGACGTGTATTAGGAATACAAAGCTGTAGGATAGCAAGTATGGCAGGTAACTGTCAAAGTTTTTAAAGAACTGCAGATGGTGTGTTTAATGCTGCTTTGGGTTGATGAGTTGTACATTGCCTAACTACCTCTGGACAAGCCAGTAAAAGGAATGTAGTGAATTATTTCCTTTTTTTAAAACAAGCATCTTATGGGAAAGTGATAGGTTCCACTTATGGATCCTAATACCCATAGTTACTGGGCTTTTCTGTGATATTTATGTTCATGTTTAGTTCCTGAGAATTACCTTGCAATTCTGCTGCATGGGTTTTTTTAAGGATTTAAAATTGTCATAGTTCCTGTTGGTTTGTTTTCAGTTATTTATGGAATGGAATAGAGTACATGCTATTTCCCGAAATCCACAGGTTTAGAGCAATTTCCTGTCAAATCGTGTAAAATGAAAACAGGAAAACAGTTAAGCAGTTACTGTGTCATGCTGAGGTGCATGGTCTCTTACTTCTGTGGTTTTCAACATTCAATTCTTGGGTCAAAATTGCTTTCCCCAGAATGATCCTGGGAAACTTCATCCAAGTGTAGAAAAATGCAATTGGTCCCTTCCAACCCAAAACATTCTATGATTCTATGATTTCTATGATATCCAAATGTGTCATAATAAGTATCAGGAGTTGGCATCTTAACCAAAGAATCACAAATACAAAATTCAGGAACATGAGCATCTTTTCATAATGACCTGGTATGTAGATGATTCTGAAAGCCATTACCTGCCAGATGAGAACTTCAGTACAATGGGTGACATGTTGAAATCACTTTCTGTGAATGGCCATATGCTGCTCCTGATCATATGCAGAAGGGATGTGCTGGATCATATGCAAAAGGGATGTTTTAAGCATATGGTTCTGATCCTTTAATAAGAAACTAAATAGCAAGGCTCTTACTGCACCGGTAGGCTAGCAAAGTGTGAGAATGGTAGGACAATCAGCTTGTGTCCAGTTTTGCCACTAACTTTTCCTGTAGAGCCTTATTAATGATCTTTGTAAATTATGTTTTTTTGAGACAAAACAAAATTTTTGTTTGATGTGAGAAAGGGACGGCAGCAGGTGAGCGTCTGAAAGCCTGAAGATTCAGAAAATGTCTGCTGTGCCCCTCAGGAGGTATGACAGAAAAGGTGCGATCTTTGTCACTTAGAAAAGTACAAAAACAACTTTATTTTACACTGTAAACTGAAAACTGTCCAATTGCTTAATCTCCTCTGTAACAGTGACAGAATGACAAACAGCCCTGCTTTTTGGTTGATACAGATTGAATAAGCAAGGGGCAGTAGATGTGTGGTAAGTCAGGGGTGCCTGTCCTGCTGCATTTTTCAGAACGACGTGCAGTACTTGGATGGCGCCATTCACTGCAGTAGTTTGTTAATGTCATACGAACCCACTAATGACACCCCCTATACTGCTTACCCAGTCTGCCTATATTGCACCCACCCTCTCACACTTTCTGGGTTTAAAAAAAAAAGAGGTTTTGGGTTTTTTTATTTATTTCTCACTGTGTGTAAGTGTGGCCTCCAAAGTGTCAAATGTACCAGTTCTAACGCAGTTTTACTCTTCTTGGTGACATCTCATCCCAGAGGTATTAAAAATGATCAGAAGAGTCTGAATTATTATCATATGACTATGTATGTAAAGTTATGGAAGTATTTTGGTTTCAACTGCTCTGTCATAAACCCAGTAACACTGTGTGTTTTAATAAAGACAAAACTATTCATATACATTTCTTCAACTTATCAGTTACCACATTAGAATCAGTATTCGTACTAGTAGCAAAGTAGTAGACTTTCCCATTTTAACCTGCAAATCAATAAGTTAATTAAGGTAATCCATATTAGAGAGCATTTTTTCTTCTGTACTTTCAGTAATGTTAACAAATGTTCCTGTCAAAAGGAAAAAATACCTGATTTGTGGTGGGTTGAATGATACTTTATTACAAGTGAGATTTAGACCAAAACAAAGCTGTAAATGCAATATGTTATTTGAAAGGCAAAAGTTACAAGTTTTGGTCTGCATTTCTTCTAGTTCTCAATTATGAACAAATATGGCATATCAGAAGTAGGACCTTTGAAACATTTTGTCAAAAAAGAAATTGAACAAAGTATTTTCAGTGTTTGTGAGCCAAAATGCAGAAATTATCTTTTTACAAAGACACAAATTAATCTTTATTATCTGTAACTTACAGTAATGTAATATCTTAACAGTTTAGGTACTTGAGCATCTTTTGGCCCTTAATGGGGTCTCCTCAGGTTAGACAAATTCGGTAAAGTTGTTACTAAAAAAAAAAAGGAAAGAAAGACTTTCCCCACATACGCACACACACTTGGTCAGTCTTCATATAGCTTGAAAAAAAGATGGACTTAAATTATCATGATTAATACTACAATGGTAATTTTTGTTGCTAAAAGATAGTGATAAAATGAAGTCTTTCACAGCCAGTTGTTACAGCAGGTTTTATTGAGTTTCTGTGTTCCAGCATGTCAGCAGTTGTGCAGCACTATTTAGTGGCACAAGTTATTTCTCAGGTGGGAATAAGAGACTTCTGCCATGTCTCTCAAATTTTCATTCAGCTACTTGGTGTACACACGCTGAACAGAAAGGAGTGTGGTGGTAAGAAATGGCCTCTCAGGTCATCATAGGAAGATTCAGATTACAAAAGGCTTAGCTGTGCCCCTTCCTGTGACTCTCAAGTCCTGCAAACGGGAGCTATTACTGCGTCTCACCACCTCCTCTGAAAACTATGTTGCAGTGTCAGCCAGAATTATTCTAAAAATCAGTGTGGTTTTTGGTAGTGTAGGAATTGCAAATTAAGCAAAACAAACAGGAAAAAAAACCCAGGAGGCTTTTGTATGCTAAGACTGGCAGAACAAAGTAAAAGAAGCAACCAAGCAGTGTCAAGTGTTTTATCTTCTATCTACCTATTAGTTGTTCAACTGGTAATCCTGTTTCTCAGTTTAATGCAAGGTATATTTTCATTACCACTTATGCTTGTTTTCTGATCAATTCACATAATCAGTTACTTCTCCATAGTTTCATCATGAGACATCCATGAAGTTGCAGTAAGTTTTATCAGGTATGGCTCCTTTCCCCACCCTTCCGTTCTGGGCTCGGTAAAGTACACTATGTGGCCTACAGTATGGAGTTAAGCAGCTCAGTATGCTGTCAGAGTACTGAAAGCACAATTCTGAGGTTCCTTTCATTTATGTTTTGAGTATAGTGCGTATCCACTACAGATTTCATTCTTTAATGCACTTCTGCAAACTTACTCTTGACTTTTTTTTACCAGAGTCAAAATCTGAGGAGGTTGGCTTTGAAATGCTCTCCATTTTCACAGTCACTGCAGGAGCATGTAGAATGAGAGTGGTTGGTGCACACAAACAGCTGGTTATGCTTTTGTCGTTCCACTTCTGTCTTACTGTGTTTATTCTGCGTGCATGACTTTGGCAGCTGTATGATTTAGTTGCCTAGCTTCATAGACATAACAAGTCAATCCATAAATGTAGTATTAAGTATCTTTTTAGTTCTTACTAGTAATAACTTCAGTCTCCTAAATGAGAAGGGTGGTGCTTGTGATGGATGGTGGCTGGTCGGTTGTCTTTGATGCTTTGGGTGGGGGTCATGTACTTTTTCACTATTTCGCGATGTCAAGTTTTAGTTTGGTATTTTCATTTCACAGCATGTGTAAAAATTCTGGTAACTTCAGTGGAAATATGTTCACCATTACTGAAAAGCTATATATATTTTTTTTTTATCTAGAGTTACATTACAGAAGTTTAAAATACACACGCAATATAAACATTTTGCTTACGAAAGTGTTAATGTAACATCAAATTATCCATTGTCACAGAACACAAAAAATAATCAGAAATGATCAGACATTTCTCAGCCTTCCCTAGGTTTTGCTGATTTTCACTAAAGCACAGCATGGCAGTTCCTGTAGGAAGTCTCTTCTGCATGTGTTGGCTGGTTTTGTACTCTTTGGCTTCTCCTATATACTGCTTAGTGTCCAAATCTCTGGTTAGCAAGTTCTTCATTCTCCATTTGACTGCAGTAGGGACTGTTGGGAGGGTGGTGTGGTGGTGGACAAAAATTATTTAAAAGTCCTTGTTTTAAAGTTCTGTCAATTTTTTTAAACATAAATTTAATTTATGTATCTTAAATATTCATTTTTGTGATAGATTTGCAACAAGTACAAATTAAGTCTTGTATGCAATTTTAAAATTAATCCAGCATTTGCTGGGGGTTTATTGGTGTCTTTGGTAAAAGCACAATCTATTACTTAGTTGATTGTCATGAGTGAGTAGTTTGTCCTAAAACTAGTTTTTCTGGTAAGCAGCTTGTGGGTATAGATGTTCTTGAATGCAGTACTAGTCATATCCCATTTTTAAATAAGATCAGCATGTTTTGTTCTGTCTGTAAGTCTTCATCCTTTAGAAAAAGCCAAATACAATTGCACTGAAGTTTATTATTGCACTAGAATTTTGAGTTGAAAAAATGCTGGAAAATTACTGTAAAAATGACAGTGTTGTTGCTAGGCAGGGTGTTTTTTCCCCCTCTGTGCATCTGCTGGCCTAAGTAACAAATTTAAAATTTTGCAGCTTTTAACTCCTGTTAAAGCTAGAACCAGGCATGGTAAGCAAAAAACAAAAAGGAAAAAAAAAAAAAGTGTCACTTTTTTCTTTGTGTATGAGTAATAGTTCTGACCTGCAGTTTCAGTAGTCACTTTTCAGGATAGAGGGGCCTTTTCAATATTTTGAAGTTTAATTTATTGCCAGCTAGACCTTGAAACTCTACAGTAACAGAAAAGAGACATCTGAACTTCCATGTCTTCATTTGTTGGGCGCGCTGTCAGTTCATTAAGCAAGTGAAACTGAAAAGCTACTAAAGAAATATAGTGTTCCTCTGAAACAGGGGATCGCTTTCCTACTTCCTATAATTTTATTCCATAAATATTCACCATCTTTGATAGTAAGGCCTCATTTGCAATGTAAAATGGTATATCTTTGGTTGCGTTTTGAAAGTTCTAGTCCTTGCTTTATTTGATTATAATGTTAAATTTTGTGTGTGCATATTGGTATTAATTATTATTACGTATTACGCTTCATTTTGTATAGCTAGTCTAGAGTAAATTGCTATGTGAAGTCATTGATACTTTCCAAAAAAGTGTGGGAATCTAACCTCCTAAGGAATTTAGTGTCAAATTCTTAAGTTTAGAAACTTTATTAAAATTAAGTATGATTAGTGCTACATTGACTTTTTCAGTTTCCATCCCAGGGTATCGTTTAAGATGATATTTGTATACCAAGTTTTAGATTATGTATTATATTAGAGAATTTTGCATACTTCTAACAGTTTCTTTAAGTACTTTTTCTTGAGACTTCATATTGCTGCTGCTTGTGCTTTTAACAGCTTTCTAACCCACTGTTCGCTATTGTATAAGTTAGATTTTACAACTGGTTCCATTTAAGCATTTGAATAAGGCCCACGTGTGCAGATCTCATTAGAATAAGTGGATCACATGCACCTCCTCACCCTTGTGAATCTGGGCATAATTTTGGAGGGATTTGAAGGACTGAGGTCTTCTATCTTAAGATTCTGATATTATATGATAGCTTGAGTAACTAGAGGAAATATAAGAAAGCTGGGGTGTCTAGCGAGGCAATATTAGGAAGAAACTATTCCTACATGTTTATGCTAGAATACTGTGATAATTTATTTATCAATATCTTTCTATTTTTGTATTTTTAATTTTATGCACTGTTTTTTTCTGTTCTAATGGCTGCCCTTCGGGATAGGCTGACCTCTGCTCTCCGTATGACATCCTGCAGTCGGATATTCGTCACATTCGAAAGACTGTTGACACTCTGCTCGCCCTCGGGGAGAAAACCCCACAATCAACTTCTACCTTTCGCTCCTGGGATCTAATAGGCTTTTGTCTTTTCCACATACTTTTTATAGTCTTGATGTATATAACTTATCACTGGAATGTGCTAACAGCATAACCTGTTCGCATGTGCACACAAACTTTCTGCTTTGTCTCTGACAAATTACAGGTACTTAATTTCCTTCCTTTGTCTTGCAAACTTCTCCCTTTCCCTTGCTTCCCTTCCTTGTAATAGCTTTATTAATCTCTTGAAATAGTGGAGAGAGGGAGTAGCATCTTGAAGGCAAGCCCCATCTCTTCTCCCCCCTCCAGGTCTAGTTTAAGAACTTATGTACCTCTTTATTTATAGTTTGTTTTCTTTTAAGTTGCCTAGACTACACACTAACTGTGTTAAAGCAGTGAAGCTACTCTTATCCCACTTTTGGGTGTAGACTAGATGTGTATCACAAGCTAACCAGAACTGAGCCTCTTACTTTTTGTGGAAATCCAAGAATGCTGCAGGTATTGAAGCAACCGAGGTGGCACTTCAACAGATGATAGTATTGTCTGAGTTGGTGTCAGTTATCTCAACATACATTGTGTTAAGAGCACTTGGAGAACTCTTTCAAACTGCTGTTATTTTTTTAATCCTTTAGATTACAAGAGTGCTGTAACTTTAAAGACTGTTGGTCGTCTCTACTGTTCCAATTAAATTCCTTACTGGAGTAGTTATGTTTTCCTACTTACATTTTGTTTTCCTCCAGATTCCATAGAATAATCTTTTTCTTCTGTTGCACAAAGCAGTGTTGAACTGCTTTTAAACACTTGCTATGTTACACCCCGAAGATGACTGTAAATTAGTAGTGCGTATGAGTAACCCATAATATGCCAGGGACTTCAGAATGTTTCAGGATGAAGAACGTGGAGTACAGTGTGATACAATAAGACAGTTTGAGAATAAGCTGTTAGATTCCTGTATCTGCCATTCTTATGTGTGACGTCAAGCAAGTCACATCACTATCTTGTCTGTTTCATCACCTGTGAAAATGCAGGTTTTGTTTGTTTGTGTAATAAATGTAACAAAGACAAGATAGCTAGGAAAATAAATCATCTAGGAAGACTCTAGATTTTCCATCCTAGGAGGTTTTAAAGAATAGATTAGACAAAGATTAGCCAAGAGGCATGTTGGTACGTTTGAACTCTGCCTACGGTTAGAGTTGCTGGACTGGTGACCTCCATTGCCCTTCCAGTTCTGTGTTCTGTTCATCTATTGTAAAACTTGAATAAGAGAGGTGTTTTTTCAGTTTATCCCTTATAAACATGAAATATACTAATGAAAATTGATTGAAAAATATAAAACCTTGAATATAAACCTATATTGATGTTATAATATTGGTCTA